ACGGCGTTGTCTGGGCAGGAGGAGCGCCGGGCCGGGGGCGCGGGACGCTGTGGGTTGTAGGGAACACCGGTCCTCTCCCGTCTGCCTTTCCACTCTCTCAAGGGCAGTTATTAGCCAGGACCCGGTGCTGGTGCCAAGCACAGAGGCTGTTGCTCTGTGTGTGGTTTTCACAAGTGTTTGGTGGTGATTGTCGGGTCGAGGTGTGAGCAGCTGCTTCATCCTCCTCGTCCCAGCATCCCTGTTATTATTATTATTATTATTAAATTATTCCCTGAATCCTTAGAGGGCTGAAGGTGTTCCTGGTGGGAATTTGCTAAGGTAGGAGAGCATCAGTGTCACCTCACGGAGGAGAAAATGAGCTGCTGAGATGTTCATTATCTGCCTGAAGTCTTGTAGTAGTAAAACAGATTTCATTCTTGTTTTTCTGTAAGGATATTTCCCTGACAGTGCATGGTAAGGATAGCTGGATAAGGATGTGTGCTGATGCAAAGGTCACTGCTGGCTGGGACAGAGGTGTGAGGTGACTTACGGATCATAAAGATTGGGAGGGGATTGGGAGAGCTGAGGGGTTTGTTTATTTTGCTTTAAGCATCTCCATGCCCTGCTGGCTTTCCCCCAGGCAGGGAGGAGGGAGTGCTGAGCTGGCTTTGAGAGCTGAGGATAGTCCTTCTGGGAATTCCCTCGTGGCTTTCTCTTTTATGAAGGGCAGAGAATGTTGCTAGCAGCGCTCCTGTCATCAAAGAAGCTCTGAACTCAGTGTGAATGCAGTGCTTGTCTCCTTCCAAAGGATTCCCCAGTGCAGGGTGAGCTGGGCTGGGATGCCGTAAAGATGAGCTTGTCCAAACAGTTGTCAGGATCACCTAACAAGGAAGCTCTTGGAAAAGGGGGTGAGTGTCAGGCTGGCACTTTGGAGGAGCGGGTGCTGTTAGCACTGTGCATTTCCTGTTAATGTGCCTGAGGGCACAATGAAAGTAACTTGTGTAAGAGATCTTTTTCCTCCCGCGAAGTAGTGGGTTGTGCCTTTCCTCCCTTTCTGTCACCATATTCAAAACCTTCAGTAAGTGGAAGGGGCCAGCAGAGACTTGCAAATCGAGCTGGACAAATGGTTCTGCACAGGTGGTGTTTTCCCTGTTTCTCTTCAAAGCTGTCTCTGAAAGTTCAAAGCTCTTGATTATGGCTGTTTGATGTCCCTTTTCCTTTCTCTGCCAAAAAGAAATGGGATAATGTCCATCATTTCATTCATGGAATCCACTGCTGTCACTTCCTACTTCCTTTTCCTTCCTTTGAGCACATGCTTTGTTCTGTTCTTAAGTTCATATGTGGACCGTGAAACTCTTAAGACCTAAACCAGCCCTGCTATAGCACTAAGCCTCATTCATGTGCTTGCAGAATGCTTGAAATTGCTGCTGCACTAGAGTTTCTTCACGTTGTTGGCAGCAACCTGGGCAGGGACGTCCTGGGCACACATGGCCTGGCCATGGGGCCTCTGGGGCATGTTGGAGCTGTGGCAGAGTGCCCCAGGGAAAAGCTTCTGTTTCCCCTTTCCCTTAAATAAATGTTGGATTTCAGACTCTGGCAGTGGTAGCTCATGGGACCATAAGCCACGTGTGTGTGTGGTAATAACTGTACGTTGTAGGGTCTCTATGTTTGGGCTCAGGCTGGGATTTAGGTAGCAATTCTTCTGTTTAGGCAGAGGTTTGTGAATCTGCTGTGAATTCACAGAAAGTGACAACCTGGAGTTGTCTGCAAATCCCAAGTGTGGTGATAATTATCCAGAAGTGCCTTCTTGGAGAAAGTTTGTGTGGACTCCTGTTCTGGTCACTGCCACAGGGCAGGAAATATGGTTAGAATTGCTGCAAGGAAGGTTTGAGTTAATTTCTACTTACAGCCAAGTGCTTTGTTCTGAAGTTAATTATGGGAATGGATTTTCAATATCTTTCTAGTGAGCTCCCAGAGGCATGGGGATAGCTGCTGTTGCCTTTGGAGGATGGGTGTGCTGTGCTGTGTGCCATGGGCAGAGCTGGGGGGGTGGCTGTGCTGGCAGCAGCACTGGCAGGTCCTGCCTGCTCTGTGCCACCTGCTCCCGGGGTGACACTCTGCCTGGGCTTGTGCCATGTTTCCCCCAGGCTATGTTCTGTCTGTGTGAGAGAGAAATCAGAGTGTGGCTCCTGTCTGTATGCAGATGGGATGTAGTGGTGATTGAAATATATTTGGTTTTCCCGTCTTTCAAGACAGAGGTTTGCTTTCCTTCCACAGGATTTTGCCTGTGATGGATCACAGTGTCACCACTGCTGTGATTTTTGGGACAGTAGGGGATGATTGTGATTCTGCAGTTACTTTTTATTTAAATCATTTTCTTCTAAGAAATAATCTGTCTGCATGTCTCCATATAGGAAAATAATCAGGATTAGTCAATCCAAACTATTTGTGCCTATTTTTGCTGGGTTTTTGTTGATCTGGAGTTGTGCATATTTGATGTGCTACTTGTTGCTTTGTTATGTGATTTCCTAGCACTTCAGATGCGAGACGAGCATCTGAGGGGGTTTTGTGCATGTGCTTTGAAATGTAAATAGTTGGTAAAGGCTGTGAAAGTGTGTCCTGTCTGCTGGAAGTCTGAGCCTTGCCAGTGTTCTGTGACTGAACCGAAGTAGAGCTCTGTTCTGGAGCTTCTGACATTGCATAGGAGAGAACTGCTTGCAGGCATCCCCCAGATGAGATGCTTGTGGGCCTGGACAGGTGATCTACACAGATGTTTTGGGTGGTGTCTGTGTTGCTATTCCAAAGCTGCTGTCTTAATTTGGAGTAGGTGAAGTAAATCTGTCAGTACAAAGGGGAAGATCCTGATAAGAAAGCCCCCCCAGCTTCAGCTTCCCTGTGCTCTGCCAGCTCAGAACCCTGCACTGGGCATTTCCGTCAAATTTCACTTCCAAAGTTCTCCCACCTGTTGAATAGCAGCATTCCCATTCCTTGCTACCAACTGGTTTTTTCCTGGCAAGGCTTTTCAGAGTCACCCTCTTGTCTTTTCTGTTGCTTGGTGCTGCCTGAGTCATCATCATCTGTATGCAAAGAACCTGATTTCTGCCAAAGTTGTCATCAAAAATTTCATCTTCTACGTGCTCACATGTCCTCTGAGCATCTTCCAAAGTTCTGTTCTTGTCTTGTCGCCTCCAAGCCCTTTGGGGCAAGGGTGGCACCTGTGTGGTTTTGGTTTTTGTTGAGTACCATTGTGCTGTGTAGGTCTGTCACTTGAGTGACAAATGAGATGAGGACTGCAGGTCATTGACCACTCTGGAGCACAACATGGGACAAGATTGCAGGTCCTTTCCAGGGCTTCACCTGCCCAGGAGACCTGATAGAGCTGCTGTTTGTCCACACCTGGCCTGTGGCTGCCAAGCTGTGGAGTGTTCCCTCTAGCACTGTGTGCCAGATTGGCTGACTGTGCTGAGGACATGCAGGGATGGCAATAATGTGGTTTGTTATGGCTGCAGCATTAGCTCAAGAGCTGTCCCAAACCAAATTCCAGGTTTTGTGTGGTTTTCCGGTGATGCTGTACACTCAGGGAGTTTAGGAGAAGGGGATGAAGCTAGCAACGCTGTGAGATTACACCAGAGTTGATGTCCTAATCCAGCCAAGCAGCTGCTGTCTAATACTCTTTAAAGCTCCATTTTCATTTCACAGCTTTCCTGCCTGGGCTGGGTTACCTGAGGTAACAGCAGGATCTGAGGGAACAGCAAGGTGTGTTAAATAAAGGATTTGCTGCTGGTGTGTGGGGTCTGAGTTCTGTTGGAGCCCCCATGGAACTGATTGAGCCTTCCAGCCTGACCTGTCGTCCAGCTCCCTGAAAAAGGGGTGCAAAAGGTTTCTTTCCATGTTACTGAACTGTGTTGTAGCCTGGAGGGGTGATGTTGGAGTGGGATCCGCACCTGGAGTAACGATGAGTCTCAATATGAGTATGGTCGTTCTCTTTTATTCTTAGTGCTTACAAGATATATGTAGATATTCACACAGTGTATGCGAACACAGCGGATACATGATTGGTTTATTGCCCTTGTCCAAGTGTCCAGGGCAAACTTATGACTGGTGCAAGCAGGTGTCTATCCACATTCCAGGATGTTCTCAGGAATTCCAGGGCGCTTGTTGACACCGGACTCAGAGCTGGCTCCTTATCAGCCGTTCAAGGCTAAGTCACAGCTGCTGTAGGCCTTACACCACACTACAAGCTGGGTTGTCAGCTTCAAGGAAATCATATCCCTTTTCGCAGAGCCATTCCTCCACAGGGTGAGGAAAGGAGTGGAGCAGGAGGGAGTGGTGATGGGATTGTCTCTTTGGGTGCAGTTCCTTTGGTGTCATACCTGACCCCACACTAACACTGCAGGTAGCAGCACATGAGCATCTCTGAGCAGCTCCAGGGTAACTGCTGCTGTGCAGAGCTGACAGACATCCAGTGCCAGGGCTACAGCCCTCTTCTCTACTAATCCTTGGAGTTTTCCAACGCAGAGAGCTCAGATGGGTGGGAGCAGAAAAGTCAGGTGTTGGCCTGCTCCATGTCCAGATTAAAAGTGCATTTTTCTTGTGGTTGAGCAAAGCCAAAGTTTTCGTAATTGCAGATAAAGAGGCAGAGACACCCAGAGTGGAAAGTGACTTGATGAGAGTCACAAAACAAAGCCAAGAATAGGTTTTGTGAATTTAATTTCTGTTGAAACACCTGACTGTTCAGCCTTTCTAGTGTCTGGGGCAAACACTTCCAGTGTTGTTGCTCATCTCTAATGTTGTTCCTGCATTTCTCTTATATTTTATTGTTTCTTCTCCTTTTTTTTCAGGAAAGGCTAAGATATATGCTGCTCTTGCTGTTGTTGCTGCATGGTACAAACTCATTCTATGTACCTGGGGTGGCTCCTATCAACTTCCACCGCAATGATCCTGTAGAAATAAAGGTAGGATGAACTTGGAGCTGTTGATCTGTTTGGTTGGGGGTTTTGTGGCTTGGGTTTTTTTTTTTCTTCTGTGTATCATAGCAGCCAAGTAGGGCTAGAAAGTCAGATTTGGGGATCCTGATGCTAAAATTTTGGGGCTAGATATTTTCTCTGTTTTGCCACATTTGGGTCAGGTGTTGAGGATAAACAACCCTCAAGTGGTCACTGTCCTCAGCTTATCCTGCAGTTCCTTATGTGATTCTTGTTCTTGCCCTTGATATCTTCTACCAAATTCCTTCAGCAACTGCACCAAAGTCCTTGAGATGTTGCTCTGTTTGGGAAAAGAGCCTCTTTCTCACTGTGGCTTTGAGGTGAATTTAATTTCTCCAGCATTCTACTGACTCTGAGTGCCTTTGGGTGAAAGGTGAATGGTGGAATAAAGAAGTGGTTTGAATTAGACCTTCTCAATTTTCACTTCTATCCAGTTTGCTCATGTTGTTTCTTCAGGACCAGGGAAATCCATGTTTGTCCTTGAGTCTTGCAGATCTTAGAGCCCAGCCTTGCTGTGAGCTGTTCATGTGCAGCATTGCTGGTACTGAACAACAAAGCTACTGCAACTGTCCAAGAGGAAGCCAGGCTTTGCTTCCAGACATCAGCAATTTATAGCCCATTTCATTTATTTTCCTAAAGCTGTGGCCTCTGTCTCAGCAAATCTAATACCCTTGGGGCTGCTGAGGTTGGCTGCTCCCACGTGAAGCACAGCACAATTTTCTCTTTGGCCACAGGCTGCCAGATATAGGCTATTTTTAAGCAAATGAGACTTGCCTGTGGCTACAGTAAGCTTCCCAGAAGAAGGGGGTATTGGAATGACTGTTCTCGAAGGGATTTCAGGAGCCAAATGCTTCCTCAAGTGCTCAGGCAAGTCCGTGTGTTTGCCAGTGCTGTTCCAACAAACGAGCTTGGCTGCGTTACAGAACACTTCTGTTCTGTGGAGCAACTGTGGCCTTGGCTCTTGTGGTGTGTCTCTGCACTTCCCTTGAGCCCTGTGATTTGTGGGAACTCTCCAGGAATGTTTGGGGTTTGTCACCATCTTCCCAGTCTGATGGCTCTCTGGCTTCCCTTGCTGAGGTTAAAATTGCTGAACTCTGGAGGTCAGACCTCTAGGTCCAGTGTGTCATGAAATTTTTTTGAGGCAATCTTGTATGAAATGTGACTCTTGAATCTCTTTTGAGCTTTGTTGTTTCTTAGGATTGCTCTGAAACATACATTATGAAACCACCATGCTTAATTCTTTGGGGCTTTTTTTCCTTTGAGTAGTTTTCTCTGTTTGTGAATGAATTGCTACTAAACTGTAGTGTAGAGAATGTACAGCTGGGAATGGTGCAGAAGGAAAGAAAGTTGGAGGTCTCTCAGGAACATCTGTCTCTAATTATTAACAGTAGTAGTAGTAGTAGTAGTATCTTCCAGAAGTTAGGTGTCTTGAACTAAGTGTCAGCTTCTGGTTGGTGCTGAGAGGTCAGGAAGTTATCTGGTGTTGTTTCCTGAGGATAACTCCTCCATTGTTCCTGCAGGCTGTGAAGCTCACCAGCTCCCGAACGCAGCTGCCCTACGAGTACTACTCACTGCCCTTCTGCCAGCCCAGCAAGATAACATACAAGGCTGAGAACCTAGGTGTGTACCTGTGGGGCAGCACAGTCCCAGCAGCATGGGGAGGTGTTTACAGGGGTAAAAGCAATTGCAAGTGTCACCTGTGCAGAGCTGTGAGGAGAACCTACTTCCTCTGATTCACTCTGTGCTGGCTGTTTGCAAATGGGGGTGTCCATGTGTTGGACATGTGTTGTGCCTTTCCTGAAGGAGAGTGTGTAACCTGCTTCATAAGTAGTGCATGATACTTCCAGCAAAATAGCTAAACTGTCCTGCAGTCTTGTCCTTGTACCTGTGGTGGGAAAGGAGTCTTCCTGTGGTCCCTCCAGCTGCACAGTGCCCGGCAGCAGGAAGCTTGGCAGTCTCCAACCCTGCCCCTATTTTCCTGTTTTCCAGGTGAGGTTCTTCGGGGGGACCGAATTGTAAACACACCTTTCCAGGTTTCCATGAATGTGGAAAAGAAATGTGAAGTTCTGTGCAACTTTCCCAACAAGCCAGTCACTCTGACAGTGGAGCAGAGCAAGCTGATTGCCGAGCGCATCAGGGAGGATTACTACGTCCACCTGTGAGTCACCTCGGGCATGGGTTTGTGTCAGAAGGGGTTCGGTGCTCTGGACAAATTTGATCTGAAATCTGTGTTTTCAGCATTGCTGATAACCTCCCTGTGGCAACACGGCTGGAGTTTTATTCCAATCGTGAGGAAGAGGAGAAGAAGAAGGAGAAGGATGTGCAGTTCGAGCATGGATATAGGCTTGGGTTTATGGACGGTAACAAGGTAGAGAATCGAGGTGTTGTCTGAGGGTGCCTGGAGGAGATCTGGGTGTCTGTCAGAGGGTATTAGAAATCTGCCAGAGAGTATTAGAATTGGGATTGCAACCTAAAGGTTTTATAAAGAGTCCTGGGAAGAAGGGGGTGGGTGCTGGACTGCTGGTACAGTAGCCAGGAGTCCTTGCTTTGACTCTTCTAGTTGACAAGGTGGTCATTGGTCAAAGGTTGGACTCGATGATCTTAGAGGTATTTTCCAACCAAAATGATTCTGTGACTCATTGTGTAACTTTGGGCAGGCTCATGCAGTGGTTTCATGCAGAGCAAAGGCATTGTGCCCCCAGGGCTGGCTGATCTCTGAGGGGCTTGGAGCATCTTCTGTTAAAAACAAAAGTGTTTATTGGAGAAAAAGCTGCTTAAGTTTGAGGTTGGACTCGATGATCTTAGAGGTATTTTCCAACCAAAATGATTCTGTGACTCATTGTGTAACTTTGGGCAGGCTCATGCAGTGGTTTCATGCAGAGCAAAGGCATTGTGCCCCCAGGGCTGGCTGATCTCTGAGGGGCTTGGAGCATCTTCTGTTAAAAACAAAAGTGTTTATTGGAGAAAAAGCTGCTTAAGTTTGCAAATGGAAGTACGTGTATTCCTTTGCTGGTGGTTCCCATGATTGTGTGCCCTACCATGAGCTGTTTGACTTGACTGACACAACTGGTTATCACAGCCAGGTGTCCAGTTGCACACAGGTTCCAGTTGTTCAAGCCTAAGATCTCATGGTGACTGACCCTGCAGTGCCAGGCCTGGGCTGCTGCACTTTGGCCGTGTCACACGTGATGTAAGGGCAAGCTTAGGGCAGCTGTGGGCCTCCACAGAGTCTGGGTGAGGTGTGTCTGCCTGGTAGAAAAAGCAGGCAGGAAACTCAGGGTTGTAGGTACTGAGCTCTTTCCAACCTAAATTTGGTGATTCTGCTGCCACTGAATGCATGGTTGAGATGTTAATGTTTGCCAGGCCAGACTGAATAGACTGAAACATTGTCCCTGGTGCTTGGAGCAGTTGAGGTATTACCTTCTCAACATCTCAGTTCTCTCCAGTTCTTTTGGCCTTGGAAAGTGTTAGCCTTGTCTTGCTCTGTAACGCAATCATAGAGTCATTTAGGTTGGAAAATACCTCTGAGATCATCAAGTTCAACCATTTAATGTGTCTGGGAGCAGTTGGAGTCTTTAGTTTTCCTCACTGAAGCTGCTTCCTGCATTTGTTGCTTTCAGCTTTTCTGTTCCTCCCTTGGAGTGCTGAGGTTTTATTTCATGTCACTCTTGTTTCAGTTCTACCTGCACAACCACCTTTCCTTCATCCTTTACTACCACAGAGAGGATGTGGAAGAGAGCCAAGAGCACACCTACAGGGTGGTGCGCTTTGAGGTGATCCCCCAAAGCATTAAACTAGAAGGTAAGAGGCTCCTGGGAAGGGGAGAAAGGGGGAACAATCTCCTGTAGGGACAAGAGTTGGATGCCACTGATGTACAGGGTGCCAGTTGTTGCTTCACAGGGCACAGAAATGAGAGAGTCTGAATTATAAGAACAATAAACCCTTTGTTATTAAGGAAGTGCCAACAGTAAGAGAGATATTCTTGAAATGCAATCCATGGAAAATCAATTCCTATAAAAAGATGTGAGTTGGAGGTTTTGGGGTTGGATTTTTTTGCACTGTGTCATCTAGCATGAAGCATACCTGGCATCTAGCCCTTATTGTGGCCCAGTTCTCCCTGACACAGACATGGTTTGCTAGTCCAGAGACCCACAGGGTGTTTGGAAGTGTTCTAGAGGGACTGAACTTTAAAAATAGTAGTTAGGGGGAAAACCCTCCTACCTCAGTGAGCCAAAGGTGAAATGGGTGCCTCGAAGGGCAGCTGCTCATGATGTGTATCACCTTGTGCAGCTCTCTTGGCAGAGCTGGCTCTGCTGCAAAAGGTCTTGTTTCTCAGCATATCTTGTGGAATAGAGGATTTGTTCATGGTCTAGATCCTTGGCTTCAGAACCTTTGGCTTTTATCCTTCTGGTTAAGGAGAGCCCTGTGCATAGCTTTCCTGAAAGTTTATTAATGATGCTCCACTGCTGGTCAGGAGAATAGTTTTGCAAACTCAAGAGCAGGTGAGCAAGGAGCACATACTTCACCACAATACCCAGAGTAACTGCAGCCCAGTGGCCTAATGGTGATATTCCATGGGAGAGGTGGTGCCTGAGGGAAGGGCTGACCCTGTGTGCTGTATTTTCCCTTACAGACTTGAAGGCTGATGAGAAGAGCATGTGCACCCTGCCCGAAGCCACAGGCTCTGCCCCTCAGGAAATAGATCCGACTAAAGAGAACCAGTTGCTCTTCACCTACTCTGTGCACTGGGAGGTGAGGCAGTACTGGGGAGCTGGCTGGCAGTGGTACTCCAAGTGTCTGTCAGGTGTTGTGGAAGACATTGGGAATGTGCTGGTATGAGAACTCTCCTGTTCTTTCAGGAAAGTGACATTAAGTGGGCTTCTCGCTGGGACACCTACCTGACCATGAGTGATGTGCAGATTCACTGGTTTTCTATCATTAACTCAGTTGTGGTCGTCTTTTTCCTTTCAGGTGAGTGGATGTGTGGGGTGAGGAAGGCTTTACCATTATCTGCAGGGAATTTGCTTAAAGCTTCAGCTGCAGGTGGCTCAGGGAGTATGTGGCCACATCTGAATCTGGTCAGAAGGGGCAGGAAATCAACACTAGCATTTAAAACCTGGTTTAGGCAGTGCCCCACGGGGTCAGGCAGTTTACCCTCCTCTTTCTGACTGGGGTCATTGAGGGAGTAGAACATAGTCAATGCACATCTCACACATCCATATTTAAGTTAAAAACCAAGCCACAGGAAAGCCACAGTACCCCTTTCCTGCTGGATTACTGCCTTCCCTGCTCTCCAGGGTTTTGTTTCTGTCTTTGCCGAAGGCTGGGGGAGATGTCTGATGACTCAAGACCTCCTCTCCCAGCCAGAGCTGTTTGTTGGTGCGAGCCATGTAGTTGCACAGCGTGAGAGCAGGCACAGCCTTGTAGGAGTCTCTGAGCTGAGCTCAGTTTGTGCTTGTTTTCAGGGATTCTCAGCATGATTATCATCCGGACTCTGCGGAAGGACATTGCCAACTACAACAAGGAGGATGACATTGTATGTGTTTGTTCTTGGGGCTGGGATCAGAGAGGGAGGGAAGCATAGACGAGGAGGGAACTAGTCTGCAGACTTGGATGTATTGTCTCTTCCTTAGCCCTGTTTTGCTTCAAGCCCTGGTGATGGGAGGGGCAGTTCTGTTGTGCTGTCACAACTTTGGCTGTCTGCACAGTCACATACCAGTTCAGATGAATTCAGATCCAAGTAATGCCTGCAGTTAGCTCTGTAAATGTGTGTCCTGGCACTGACACTTCAGGTCTGAGCTGTTTTAAGCCCAAGAAGAGAGGAGTTTCTTGACTAGAGTGATAAAATTCTGTGGAAGAGCTGGATCCAGGGAAGTTAACCTTTTAGGTTGTCTGTGATAGGACTGTTATTTTCACTGGCATATCATATCTAAATAACCTTTTTCTGTTGTTGCTACAGGAAGATACCATGGAGGAATCTGGTTGGAAACTTGTGCATGGAGATGTCTTCAGGCCTCCACAGTATCCTATGATCCTCAGCTCTCTCCTGGGTTCTGGAATTCAGCTCTTCTGTATGATCCTGATTGTCATCTGTAAGTGGCACGTGCTGCACGATGTATATGGCTGTGACAGGAACAATGCTCAAGGGTGTTTGACTTCACACTGCTCACCCTAGCTGGAGCGAGGCCCATAAAGCTGCTTCCTGTTGCCACTGGCCTGGGCTTGGCAGCGCTGAGCTGCTTCATGGCATTTCCCAGCTGAGGGCAGTTTTTTGGGATTAGATTTCCTGTTGCCAAGCTGTGAGCCCTGGGTGATAAGTGGGCTGAGAGACTTTTGCACAGGTGTGCCTTGCCTGCTGAGCTGCACCTGCTCCCATCCCTGGGGAGGCTGAGGCTGAAGCATGGTCTGTAGCTGAGATCAAAGCTGTGCCTTCCTCTCTCTGGCCGGTGCTGGAGGCTGTGGATGCATTATGCTGTGAAGGAAATGAGGGCTGTGCAGGGATTCCAAGCACCTGTGACTTGTGGATGGGACAGGCCCCTGTCCTCCAGCTGCTGCAGCACATGTACCTCAGAACTGCTGTTCCTTGTCCTGTTTCCCTCTGCAGTTGTTGCTATGCTGGGGATGCTGTCGCCTTCGAGCCGGGGCGCGCTGATGACAACAGCCTGCTTCCTCTTCATGTTCATGGGGTAGGTGCCTCCACACCTTCCCCCCAGTGCTGTCCTGCCTCTCCCCTGCAATGGTAGCTCATTTTCTTTGTCTTGGCTTGTTTCTGTCCAGGGTTTTTGGTGGATTCTTTGCTGGCCGCTTATACCGGACTCTGAAAGGCCATCGATGGAAGAAGGGAGCCTTTTGTGTGAGTCTTGGGCGTTCTGTGCTGTTTAGCCAGGTTTGCTGATGGCAAGATCTGTGCGTAAGCTCCACACATATTTGTGGTGGCTGGACGTGGCCTAGCTGTGCTGCAGGTTTGCTGTGGGTCGAGTCCTTGTATAGCTTTACAGAAACAGGCAAACACCAGAGCATGTACTAGAATTCCCCTCCACATCCCAGTTCTGTGTCCTCATGCTGCAGCAGGAGGGACACTTCTTCCACGTGTGCCTTGTCCCAGTGATGGACTTGTTAGAGGAACACCTGGCTGATGAGTGTTTTCCCTTACACTGTGGTTGCTCTTGCAGACAGCGATGCTGTACCCAGGCGTCGTCTTCGGCATCTGCTTTGTCCTGAACTGTTTCATCTGGGGGAAACACTCCTCTGGTGCGGTAGGTACCACCTTCCTCCTGGGGCCTGCTGGGTGGGAAGGAGGTGACTGGGCTGACAGGGACTCCCTTGGCTTCACAGACCTTTCCAAATGTGGAATCCACTCCATACTGTGGGTGCTTGGAGGGTTGGCCTGGCAGGTGATGTCAGTCTCCAGCCCAGATGAGCTGTCAGCCTCACTTTTGTGACACTCAATGTGATTCTAGGTGCCGTTCCCTACCATGGTGGCCTTGCTGTGCATGTGGTTTGGGATCTCCTTGCCCTTGGTCTACCTGGGTTACTACTTTGGATTTCGCAAGCAGCCGTATGACAATCCTGTACGGACAAATCAGATTCCCAGGCAGATCCCGGAGCAGAGGTGGTATATGAATAAATTCGTGGGGTGAGTGATGAGTATCTGGGAAATACGGTGAGTTAAGCCCCTCAGTCCCCTTGGGTTGTTGAGCATCAGCTTCTGCTGGTCTCTGGACACAGGTGGCAGGTTCCTTGAGTCCCGACACCAGAGACAGTGTTGACAGTTTGGATGTGGTATGAGAAGTGCTTGTAGCAGTGGTATGTGCTCAGCAGTTGGTGCAGCTGTGCCATTGCCTGTGAAATTTAATGGTAATTTGGAGCTGTAGATCCATTGCTTGGAGCACATGGTGTGGTTACAGGGAATTTTTAATGTCCAGACAGCTTGATTGTGCTGCTTATGGTTTTTCTTTCTGGCTCTGTAGGATCCTCATGGCTGGAATTCTGCCTTTTGGAGCCATGTTCATCGAACTGTTCTTCATTTTCAGTGTAAGCATTTAACCCACTTTCCTCCTGAATAGGATTCCTCTCGTGTCAAAGCTGTTGAAAGGGAAGGGGCTTCCACTGGAGCAGACTCCTATTCCTATACTCACTGAAGGGCATAGCCATTCCCTGCAGGCCATTTGGTAGTTTCTAGAGAGAGCTAGGTTAGGGATCTCTTCAGACTGTCCTCTGAGACACCTGGAGATGCCTATGGGACACTCCTGGTGATTTGAAGGATTGTGGTAAAGGTGAAATTTACTGTAACATGACATCAAGGAGGTGTCCTGGTCTTCAGACAGTCTGTTCCAGCTGCTGCTCATTTTTTACTTTCTATGGACAGAGATAATTCTGCTGTTGCATTGCTCAGGAGATGGAGGGGAATGAACATGTTACCTCAGAGCTGTCTTTAGGCACCTTTTTGCAACCTGAATCCTCTGAAGTGACATTGTGAAATGCATTAGATCTGTGGTTTCACCTACATGAAGCTGAGGGACTCCTCATTTTCCCTTGGTTGGCTGCCAGAAGTTAGTCCCATATTCAGTGATG